GCACTTGGAATTAATCCAACAGGGGTGAACCAGCAACTAAGGGGTGAGTGCACCTGCTACTAGTAAGAAACTTATCAAAATTACTAATTCAAAATGTAAAAAGCACATAGGACAGTGTACTTGATAAATTCTGTAATTAAATAAGATAAGATATTTACAGAGTAACCTAATAACAAGCAACAATGTGGTTTACAAATGACAAACAGATCACAAAATCACTATGAGCAAATGACGCAGTGATGCTGAAGTCTCCCTCAAGCCTCTACTCAGTCCAAAATTGACATTAATAAAAAAGAAAACTTTGTAAAATGTGATGGTGCGGGTGTTCTGTGTGTCTAAAGTGCCTACAAAACGCTAACATAGGTGGCCCTGGCTACAAAGCTGTATAACAAAAACACAGATCATTAAAGATGGCGAGCTCCATGCCGTTTGGTCGTCCATACAATGAAGCAGCAAATCCCCGCGCGGGCCTGGCTTACCGCAGCGGCGACTACCGTTACTTGCCAGCACTGCCACCCGCTTCACATAATACACTGTCAAACGTCAACATATAATTTAACAAACTCCAAAACCACCACATAATTTAAAGTAAGTCATACAGATTGTCATATGCCCTACTGGCAAGGCTAAACTTGTTATACCACGCAGTCAATTTAGCAAATCACGATCGACGTATCTGCGTTAGCCACTTAGCTACCTAGCAAACACTAGCCTCATATTAATCTGCAGGCCGTTATTAGCCGACATTAACTGGATTCACAATACCCGCAGCGAGATATAATTAATGCTAGCGAAAAGGTATGACACAGAATGCGTTTTTTATATCGTTCGACAGCCAATAGAGACAACAGGAACATCTAGATTACGTGAGGCAAATATGCAAGGCCTAACAACCAAATCGAACATTGCAAAATACAAGCCACCATTTTGGATCACCACACACCCCCTCCGTGAGTGTTAGCCGATCAGCTAACTAGCATGCTAGCCAGCAAATGACAGTAAAGAAATGGGGGTTGGAGCTAATTGGCTAGCTTAAAATTAGCTGTCTCACTAGCAATGTACATTCCCTCTTGCCAGTTTAATGAAAACATTGAGCAATAAAACAAATACGCGTCGATGTCCGTATTTCGCCTATGGTCAAAACATATAAGTCAGACAAATGTACTGAAATAGCATTTTAAGAATCACACTGAAATAATAATGTACACAGTATGCGCTTTCGTTTGTTTGCAGGCCCGCATTTAACGCCATCAGACACGATGCTAACACACTGTCATTTAGAAAAGATGGATTAACGTTTCACGCATAACGGTTATTAACGGGCTATGTTTTAAGTAATATGTTAGCATAGAAAATAACATTCTGTTCACGTAGTAAACAACGTAGATGAGAAACGCAGGTGCCGATATCTGTCCAAATCAACCACAATACGTCAAAGTAGCAAGATGTAATTTACCTAGCGATGGTTCCGGTTTAATTGCGGTGTTTACAAACATTAAACGTTAAGTTATCAACAATCAACGGGCCTGGAGTTCCGTGACTGCATGTTGATTCTAAACTGCGATGATTTGGCAAACGGCATCGGAGAGAACTTGTCACAGCGACCGATCGTGAACAAAACAATTCGCAGATGCAAATTGATTTTTTTTTGTATGTTATGTTGAACAGTGTTTTTGAACAGCTAATGGTGGATTATTGACCAGCATGTGAATATTGCAAGAATACGGAGAGGAAAAACAAGCCCCCTTAGTTTATAACGCAAAATGAGGTCAGCTCCACACAAGTATGCTGCAACGGACGCACAATCAGCAAAAAATGCAGCTGGCTAGCTAGCATCGGGCCTTCGTGTTTACTGTAAAGTTGAGCTCTGCGTTCACAATTTAAACTTCATGCATTTCTCGTGCAATAGTTACATTAAGGGTTTAAAGTGTTCGTTCACACTTCTATGGACCATAACTCACCTTCCATCTCCATGTCCTCCGGTTCGCTGAGCTGCTGCTCGCCGGCTTTCTGTTGCTGCTGCTGCTGCGTGTGGTGATGGTGGTGGTTCATGTTGGCAGCTGTTGTTGTTGTGGTGATGCGGGGCTCCCTGCTATCTCTGTTACCCTCGACCTTGTCTAGGGTCGGCTCTGGGGGGAACCGGGTTCTGGACTGCTGGTGAGGGGTGGTAGGATGCGGAGGTGGGGTGGACAGGTCGAGCCTTGGCGGCCGGGCCTGCTCTGTCGCGACCTCGGCCTTGTCCGCTGTCAGCGCCGGGGAGTGAGGAGGGGAGGTCGGCGGGGGAGCGGGTAGAGAAACGCGGACGTATTTGCTCGCTATTCGCCCAATCTCGGCGCCTTTGGTGGGTGCTAGTCGCTGTGGGTTGACGGGGATTGATGGGCTGTGGCTCCGAGGAGGGGAGGCACGTTAAATTAGCTAAATCAATCCGGCTTTACCCCGGGAAATGTGGGGACAACGCACAGCACGACCTGCACCGTGAGGAACAAATACCCTGTTTATTGCTAAGCTACCTGACACTAGGCAGCCAACTGGTGATATAGGTACAACAACAATGAAAACAACGGTTCATTTGCTATTAACACACATTCAACAACTTTATCTGCGATATCCCCAATCCGTGTGCTCCTCCGATTGTCCCTCGTCTGGGGAAGAACGGAGGAAAGAGCTATCCATTCAAAACAGTTTCCAATACTAGTGTTGATTTGGAAGTTCGCGAAGACGAGAGTTGCCCGCACGGCCCGACATAAACCAAATCCACGCAAACCACCCCTTAACCTAACACAATGCACAAAAAAACACGGCACCTGGTTGCATTTCTATGCTAACCCTCTTGTTTCTTGTGAGGAATGTGCCCGGTCATACAACGTTAACCTGAGTGGCTCTCTTCTAAACCGCTCCTCCCGTGGTTTGTGATGTGTTGAGTCTGAGGTAAATCTCAAAATGGCGGTCGCGCTTTTCTCTGTAATGTCACATCCGCATGGAGATCCAGATCCAAACACCATGGCCCATCCCCGGCCAGGTTCACATCCATGTTATAAATGGACGGGATCTGGTACAGGGGAATAACATATTAGTGCAACAACAACAATTTAAAATTAAATGAAGTTATAAGAATGACAATTCAGGGCCTAGCATATTTATGACTTGCACTGGAGCCCAAATCAGTGATTTACAATGGCTTGAACAGAAAGCAATATTTCAATAATATAAGTAATTAAGTGGACTCAATTAATTTCCTATCGTACTATTTCTTCCGCAAAAATAACATTAAGATTTGTTTTAACTTTAAAACATTTGTTATGAAACGGTGTTGAATAAATAGTTATTCCTGCACATTTTATATTGACATTTGTGTAATAAAGAACAACATTCCTACCGAACTGGAGCATTTATTGCCTATTAAACTAACTAATAAAAACCACACTTTATCAATTAGGAGACTTATCGAAGAAAATGATTGTGCTTTTTGTTTTTACTTCAATGCATTATTTGTATGGTTAATGGTATAGCATTTCAATTAGCAACTTTCCACTCCAGGGGCCCTGCATTCAGTGTATGGTAGCCCATTGTTGCTTTGTGGCGTCTACACATTTTGTAACCTCATTTATTTTTTATGTACTTTTATTGTACATTTATTTCATTTACATTTGTATTTCCTCCTAAACCTGATTCGTGATTCTCAAGGTTGCATTAAAGCAAGGTTACATTATCATTGTAAGTTTTTAATTTAGATCAGGGATGTATGAAATCAACAAGAAATACCCTGAAATAAATCTCACAAATAACCATTTTCACTTATTTTCATAGGGCCAAGTTTTATTTGAGCTGAATAGCACACACACACACACACACACACACACACACACACACACACACACACACACACACACACACACACACACACACACACACACACACACACACACACACACACACACACACACGACAACAACAAAAGTATACCGCAATATAAGTTATTACAACGGTTAAACAATTAAGCCAATTAAGTGAAATCAAAGATAAAAAAACATATTTAATCAAAGATGAAAAAACATATTTAAAAAAGGCTTACAATAATGTCACTTTTCTTACTTGTAACCGTGCAAACGTGTATATCATTGGGTGTGACCATTTTGGAGGACAACCTACTGCCTATCATGAAATATCCATAGACTGTATATATGGAAATATCACATAAGCAAGGCAGTGTTCATCTTCATTGCTGTAACCAGAAGGTGCTTTGCTGTAATAGACATGCATTCTCATATTTGAGTAAATTGCACCATGCAGTGGTTAAATATAATATTACACCAGGTCATAATACCCGTCGCAGTTAGGCTTTTTAGGATCACTGACTTCCTCTCGTTTATGTAATTTCCTTTTTATTTGTTAAATTGGTGTGCATAACATTTTAATTATTTTCCTTATCATTTTTTTCTCCATTTGAGCATGTCAAAAATGTTTTTGTAGGTAAATTATCATGAGTCATATATGGACTTGTAGAGGGTTCATGTGAGTCGCCCATATTATAGTGTATATATATAACTGTATAAATAAGGTGTCACCCCTAATATTAGAGGCCTTCAATTAGCTGTTGTCGGAAAAAGTTTATATGGTTAATATATGTATGTCCTTTCCCAGCTTGTGTGTTCAGAATTAGTTATAAAGTGAAAGAAAATACGCTAAGAGAAGGATAAAATAATACAGTTGATAAAAAACAGTATTTATAAAGCACTTTTCAAAACAAATTATCATATTGTTTTTATTCAAACAGTGCAGATTTTTCACGACACAACTTGCTCTCCCTCTCTCGCAAGCTTGTGAGTTCAATTTTCACTGTGGTTCTTTTGTGTCAATGCTTTGAGCGACGTGTCCGTGAGCCAATAAGATTCGAAATAAAGCTTTCAAGCCAGCCCTGCAGTGTTCATATGACCAATCATAGTCGAGATATGATATAATGGGCGGGCTAAAGCACACAACAAGATAGTCTGCGTTGTATATATCACAACGTCGGCTACCAGGAAAAATAGTTAGCTGAGCTTATCTTCACAGATGGTAGTGGGGCCAGAGAGCAACGCTGTATTGTAGGGGCAAACTATTACATATCAAACAGCATTCATGAATGTACTCAAATAATTATTCATATAGGGCCCGATATTAATAGTTTAATATATAAAAAGGAGCATCTAACTCCTGTTTTGGTGCATTAAATGGAGGAGAAGAAGGAAGACGGAGACTCGGAGATACAGGAACACGGACCCGAGCACTGGTTCTCAAAATGGGAGCGGCAGTGTTTGGCCGAAGCGGAGCAGAGGGAACCGAGCGAGGAGGAGGCCGACAACGACCAGGATAAACTGTGGCATCTCTTCCAGAACTCCGCCACCGCCGTGGCACAGCTATACAAAGGTGCACACCAGCGCTTTCTTTTTGCCTGTAGTTGGTCCAACTAGGCTAACATTGCTAGTTAGCATGTAGCTTGTTTGTTAGCATCCTGGCTAATTACGCGTTGCTGTGAACTAACGTAGAATGCTAACTAGCCTGCTAGAAAACTCTTGTCAAAACTGGGTAACGTTTACAGCTGATTTGGCAAATGCTAAATTTAGCTAGCTGTTAGCCAGTGACATAAAATAGTTACGAAACCTGGTTATATTGTCAAACAACTATCATGTTTACTGGCATAATTAAAGTATCTCAACATGAATATATTTCACAATTCGGCGGCTTGTTGAAGTTTAGTCACCAGAAGAAAGCTAACGTTAGCCGGGCTAGATACAAAATGGCGATGGTAACAACAATCGTAGCTACGCGACATTCCCAGATGACAGTCTCTGGTTTACTGTCAGTGTTACCATCTGTTCCACCGGACATGACTGACTGTTGAAATATGCTATTATAGTATATAGAGTTAACGGCACTTACATGCTCTCTTGTTCTTAAACGCTCGGTTTGCTGCTGATCGAGCAGTTTGTTTAGCAACGCGTAATAATCACAAAATGGCGAGGATTGTATTCTGTGGAAATATTGGTTTGTGAACAATATGCTATCGTTAAGTTACCATCAAACATTCCTGTCTATTATGTCAGAGCTTGTAAGTGAATCCGTGTTTGACATGTATGTTTGACATGGCAACTTTACTGCTGATGATGCAGTTAAGTTGGTGTGTCTGCTTTCTTGCTAAATAAGCTGCTGGCCATCTAGCGCTGGCTGACAGTTATTTTTATGCCAAACCATGTCCCTGCAATTTTAGAAGCAGGACAAAATGGCGAATGAAAATGATCTCCACTTCAACCCTGTAATCACCAAGCCTTTCAAATGTTTTGTTGTCCTTTTTTAGGTCACATTTATCCAGACTGCTTTCTTTCACATGTGTGTTATGTATAGGAACTAAACATATTTCCCCTTTCCGACACAGACAGAGTATGCCATCAGCAGGGCCTGTCATTGTGGGTGCCATTTCAGAACTCTGCCACAGCAGTCACCAACCTCTACAAAGGTAACTATATAACCACATCTCTCCATACTCGTGCTATTGGGCAAGTCTGCTAACTACTACACCTACAGTTGTTTGTGTGCTTTCATTTGATCAATACAGATTGTTGCTGACTATCATTGTACTTGTAAATGCAGACATGTTTTATTGACAGGCTCATCCAACAAGTGGTAAACACTCTTATCCGCTCTATTGATCTGTCTCTCACAGGGCTTGCAGGTCTTTGGTATGTCTGCGTGTCATGTTCACTGTAGGGATAGATGAGAAATAGACCTTATTTAAAACATTTTTTTTTAGAAATGGTATAACAATGTAAGGAAATGACCAGTAAAAGGGAGGCGGTTTGTTGTAGTATGAATGAGATTGTACTTGACTCCCAATTTGGCAGTTTACCTTCCAAAACCTGGAAGAGGGTAGAATTAGCTTTAGGGAGTGAGCAACTTCCAGAAGTAATTTGCCGTTTCTTTCAAAAGCTGTCAGTCATGTGATTTTCCTCTTATGTTTTCCCCCAAAAATATATAGAAATAAAAGTATGTACACCATGATACTTAGATGTCTCCATGTTCCTATGCCAATCATATTTTCAAGCTGTATGTTATTTAAGGTGTCATTATCTGCTTGGCGTTCCAACACATGATAATGAAAAATTCTAATTATTTTTATATTGTGTTTTTTTTTACCATCTAAGAGAGTGTGGAGGCCCATCAGAGAACCTTTGATCGGGGCATCCAGACAGGCCACCAGCGCCGTAATAAGGTGGGTCTTGTTTCTCCTGCATCCGGACAAATTGTGATGCTACCCCTTCCTGTCACATTTGTTTGAAATGTAAGAACCAGTGCTTTTAGATTATTTTAGGTGTACACAGCAGGCGTGTTCAAGAGGGATACAAATTGCATCATAAAATGAAACCTTGCCTAAGGACGGATTGCGCTTGTATTGGATTGCAGGACATGCTGGCCTGGGTGAAGAAGCGACGGAGAACCATCCGCAGGGAGGATCTTATCAGCTTTCTGTGCGGGAAAGCACCACCGCACAGGAGTAGCAGGACCAACACCCGGCTGGCCATGGTGGCCCCGAGTCGGGCTAACTCTCCGGCGGAGACCGGCTCATCTGTGGAGGCAGACCTGCAGCCCTTCAGGGAGGCCATAGCGCTGCACGGTGAGTGAAGAGCCCGCCATTCTGTGATTTACAACCCAGGAGGTAGATACATTGATGCATAGAAAACTGCTGGTCTTTAAGACCAGTATATGTTAAATACCAGCCTTTGTATGAGGGCATGCTCACTAATTTAGGTTCCTCTATGTGTTCGTGAGACCTACTGATTCCACAAACTTGATAAATATAAGGTTTTACAATGCACTAGGTTCAAAGGCTAAAAAAAATAAAAAGATAACAGAATGTACAATGAAATACTGTACTGGGGTATAAGGTATAACATTCTCCTTATTTTTATAATATATGAACATGCAGACTTTATATAAGGTGAATTTGCTTTCATTATTGACCCATCTAAGGTTGTGTGTGTGTGTGTGTGTGTGTGTGTGTGTGTGTGTGTGTGTGTGTGTGTGTGTGTGTGTGTGTGTGTGTGTGTGTGTGTGTGTGTGTGTGTGTGTGTGTGTGTGTGTGTGTGTGTGTGTGTTGTGTGTGTGTGTGTGTGTGTGTGTGTGTCTTCTTGACCCTGTTTGTGTGACAGGGAACACTTTGCTAAAACAAAAGCGAAGTACTTTTGTGATGACTGTTTCTTTAAATTTGCAGATGGAACCATTTGTATGTATTTCTGGTGTGCTGTTAGTACAGATAAATACTCAGAACTGTATCTGAAGGTCCTCACCTTGAAAGGGTAGCTGGGGTCAGGGTGTATGACATTAGGCATTCAGTGGTTTAGGTTACAGAAACGGGTCTCTCTGTCGGGAAGTTTCTATGTGTCTCCTTCCTCAGTTATCAGATAGCTTTTGCTTTCTCCACCTCTGTGTGTGTTGGCGAGACATACTTTCTGTTTTGTATAAACAAATTGCACGACAATAGGATTCACTAATTCGTTGTTACAGACACAACTTAGTATTTTGAACAAATGTGAACAAAATCATTTGCGTATGTTATGACATCACCACTTGGTTGATGGCTTTTATCAATTACATTAAAATGCTGGGTCATGGATACATTACAAACTGTACTTGACACTTTATGCATCATATTTCTACAGAACTCATCTGTTGAGATGAACCTTCTGTGGAATCGTTTTGTTCTTTGGCTCTAGTTTTGAGGTAGCTGCTTTAAATGCCGTAATGTGTCAGACATCCTAACAATGTCATTCTGAAGAAGCTTGAACCTGAAAGGGGAGACTGAAACGCACTCAAATAACAGCCTGAGCGAGTGACAAATAAAGTCCGTCACAGAGCTGTTTACTTTCTGTGTCCTTCCTCATCACAAGGCTGACTCTAAACCTTCAATATACCTGTTTATATCTCAGGGAAAAGGGTAATGCCCTTGAGATTAATGCTTGTTATGGTAAAGCAATGCCGATACAGCACTTTTTCCCCCCAAATATATTCTCTCAGACACTTGCAGATACCATCTTTGTGGTCATGTGTGTCCAGCGTACTTTCCCCAGACAAATGCTAAGTTAATGCACCTATGATGTGTTCGCTTGGTTGTCAGTAAATGTTGGGCTATCCAAAAAACCACATTGATGATGGTGTTGCAATAAATGATGAAACCTGGCATAACGGGATGGATTTTCTTCTTCAAATCATAACCGGTAGCTTGCCTTGATTATAGCAGTCGATAGATAAGATGGGGACCGGTTGCTCATCCGTCCTATTTTCCAAAGAATGCCTTTTTCTTTCGTGTTCTTTCATTATTTTGGTCATTTAGATTTTCTATGTTCTAATTGTATTCTCTATACACACATCTATTGCCCGTTTGTCCTGAGAGAGGGTTCCCATCTGTTGCGATTGTTTTTCCTTGTCTTCACACAGTACAGAGGTACAACTGTAAATCCTCCTGAGGCAAATGTGTAATTAGTGATATTGAACAATATACATCAGATTTGATTGATGATCCTGTCTTTTCCTCCTTCCTCCACAGGTCTGAGCGGAGCCATGGCGAGCATCAGCGTCCGCTCCGGTGCTCCAGGGTCTCCCACACATGTGAGCGGGAGCAGCAGTAACGGAGGCGGGGCCGGCGTAGGCGCTTCCTCCGGATCGGGGCCGGTGTGCCGCAGCCGGCGCAACGGGCTCCAGGACGTCGACCTGAACACTTTCATCTCGGAAGAGATGGCGCTGCATCTGGACTCTACAGCCTCCGCCGGAGGGGGAGGAGCCAGGAAAAGAAACTCCACCCAGTGCAGCGATGTCATCACAGACTCTCCTACGCACAAACGCAACAGGATGATCTGATGTGCTGCCTGCCTGTGTGTGTGTGAGGGGGGGGAAGCCTTCAGAGCCAAGGCTAGGAGAGGGAGGGAGGGAGGGGGTTGGAGGGGCGAACCTGGGACAGATGCACAGACGGATGGACAGACATTCAGCTGCCTGGCTGTGCAGAAGAACGTCTGAAAACGCAGACAGAAGGTCCCCGTTTGCTCTTTTCTGATGTTGAATGAACTCTATTCCTTGTCTCCTTTCCCTGCACTATTGCTACAAATCACTGCAATCAGAACACTTAATGAGTGTGTGTGTGACGAGGACGTCCGGACGCCCCCGCCCCGGAAAGGAGACAACGAAGGAAGACTCATCATGGGATACGGACAGTTCTCAAACACGCACTGTGCTGCTTCGACGAGTAAAAGCCACTTTGATCCTCGACACATTTTGTGCCCTTCCCTCCCTGAACCCCACTCATCCTCACCCGCCACCTTAATAAGGAAGTGAGGGCCATGATCGTCTCACTCAGTGAACCGAGTTGCTCGCCAAACGTTGGAGACTCAACCCTCTGCGACCAACACGTGATCTTTCTGTTGCTCCACCGTCGTCGGTGGGGGAGCTGAATCGCAGTAGGACATCGATGGCACGTCACTTTACTCGCCGCTAACTCAACTATGGCTCCATTTAGTGAAGCCCGTCGCCATTTTCATTAGTTCGTCAAACCACCAGTGTTAAAATTCTAGGTTTGTTGCCACTGTTGTTGGCAGCATTGATAGCCAAGTTAATTCTTTCTCCACATTTTTTCTGTTGATTAAAAAGAAAAAACATTTTTATTTTTTGTGTGAATACAGCTCGTCATAAAGCTCACCCCTTTACCCTAGTCTTATACAAAAAGCAACTGCTCTTTTATGTGCTCTTGTGATTATTCTGAGTTGCAATAAGGACTGCACTTAATTTCCCCCTAACTCATGCAAACAAATCGGCTCTTCCATTATATCCCAGATGTAGTCTAGATTAGCACAACACTCACTGCTTAGAGGAAGTAAGCACTCGGTATAGGGCTGCTCAATTAATCGCAATTACGATTTTGGCTTGCAACGATTGTGAAAACAACATAATCGAGTTAAAACCATTTTTTTATTTAAAAAATATATATATATTTTAATTGTTTTTTCAGTTCAATTGCACTTAAAGTTCAGGGTAATCAACTGTTAACATACTGTTCAAATTCTTTTTTCAATAAATGGATGTTTTCAAAGTAAATGGATAGTCGTTTTTAATAATCGTGATATCAATTATTGACCCAAATAATCGGGATTATGATTTTTGCCATAATCGAGCAGCTCTAACTCGGTATGACTAAAAACACATCTTTGGTCCAACAACCCTTCAAACATTTCCGCACATGGGCTCTACTTGTATTAAGAGTCTTTCCCTGCCTGACCAATGATTTATCGGAAGGCAGTCGGTGCTGTTAAGAAAGCGTAAATCACAGAACCGTTTACAAAGGTAGCGTTTCTAAATAGATCCACGAAACACGCCAGTCAGAACACACATTATTGCATTATCTGGCTGGAGTTTGGGTGGTCTGCTTTTTTGTACAAGGGCCGTGTGCATTAATACGACGTGGAGGCTTTTTTTGTAGGATGATGAATTTCCTCGATGGTTTAATTCAAGTTGTTGCCTTCCATCATTTTGTAACGGTGAAGAGTCGGAGACGCTGATACCGCATGAGTCCGAAATTTGAGTATATTCACAGTTCAAGTAAGAAGAACTATTACATTTTTTATGATTTATATTGAAAGATACTTGGAGTATATCCAAGTTGTTTTTTTTCAATTGGTCTCCTTTAGCATAGGATGCTAACAAAGTTTAAATCATTAACAATCTTGAGTTATCAAATAGAAATATCCCCAGTGATGCCCTGCCATATTAGTGATAGAGTAAATGTTGGCTTAAACTTGACCTGTAATACCCGCTGTAGCTGAACCAATGAGACGTCACTGTTTCCTTCTCCTCATCCTCCTTTTCCTTCACTCCCCTTCTATTTGTACGACCTGGAAAAGTGGGTTTTCTTTAGTTGTATAAAGCATGCCAGTTTTTAACTTCTGTTACAGTTTGGTCACAGATTTTTGCGTTATAGGTTGGCTTTTATATTCATTCATCATATCTGGCTTGTTGGTGGAAAAGAAAAGGCTGAGATGTGTTGCTTCTGTCAAAGACTTTATTCTTACATACAAAGGAAACCACTGAGTTGGACTGATTTAAAACGAATAGATCCAAATGGAGTTTTGAGTTGGATACAGAAAAAGTAATTCATGGTGAGAATTCATGCTTTACATCTTTCTAAAAAGCAAGAAATGTATGTCCTTGTTAGCATCAGCTAGCACGAGGCTAGTTAATAATGTAACATAGGAAGGATGAATGTTTATTGAATAGGAACGTCGGCCCTTAAAGACAGCCGATGGCAGTGTACGGAGATTATGTAAATCCTATGACCTTAATTAAATCAGAGGAATGCATTTTGAATATTTGAGTTGCTCTATCTTTCTCCGGGCACTGTTTCTGCGTCGAGCACTCCACTTCGACTGAAACCAAATGGTGCGTGATGTTACAAATGAGTGGTTATCATCCCCAGTGTTTCTGTTGCATGACAACAAAGGGAAGACGTGAAGTGGCTGCAGACAGTCTCTCCCCCCCCCCCCCTCAAAAGGCTTGACTAAAGAGAGTTGGCAGGACGCTGCCATCTTTCTAATCCCCCTGTTGAACCTGCATTGATTAGCTGGGTTATAATGGGGGGCGGGGGGTGCACTTTGTGTTTTTCTTTTCTTCCCCCGAGCCAATCGCCGGCCTTCATCCACATTGTTCTCAAAAAGACTGAGTCATGCCACGTGTCTGGAGCCAACACTATTATCAGCTGTTTCTTGATACTTATTTGTTTAAAAAGTAATAAATGGCTAATCTATATACTTAACATTTAATTGTTGGTATGATATATGTGGTTCACATTGTAAAATAAATAAAACCATTGAGTTGCAAATGGTTCGTCTGTTTCATTAAAGAAAAGTAAATGGAGTTTTATTTTGTTACTTTTGTTTATTTAATTTGCTTAATATTTAATTGCACTTATTGTAAGTGGCTTTGGATAAAAGCGTCAGCTAAATGTATTTTAATATAACGTTAATTAAGGGTTCGTACAGAAGTGTTTTATTTGTTCAATTGCACCTCTTGAGCATATGGAAAATAAAGGGCAAGTGGCATGTCATCAAAGTGTATTGTAAATGCATAAAGCAAACCTTTTTAGGCCAAGTAAGGAAGATTATTTTTACTCTTCATTTTAACACACTTGGCAGGTATATTTTGAGAACTCAACAACTTGCACCAGAGGTTCCCCTATAGAGCGGATAGATCTGGTTGCATTTAGACCTGACATGCAAATGAGCAGCAGTAAGCACTTATAGAATAGATTGCATTTCACAAGAGATGACGCACAAGTAAGAAGTAGTGATATGTTTGGTAGTTAGAGGAGCCTTATGTGTTAAACAAAACGAAATAGGAAAAATATTTCTGTCACCATAGAAATGAAATGACAGTCACTATAGTATTTCAAATGTATTTTTTGGGAGTGGTTGTTCCTTAGTTAGTTGTGCCTTCTTCTCTGAACTGAGTTATTGAAGGGTCACATAAATTACACGTATTTTAGCACTGCTTTAATCCACAAGATGATGCCAAAGAACAGCATTGGGGGGAAAAGTCACTTTTCCACATGTCATGGGTCTGTGATGGGGACATACAGGCCTGCAAAGTGTGCGTGACCCTGTTCTGATAGTGTAGCAACTATCTTTAACAGTTCATTTCATTTCAAACCTTTATTTATCCAGATAAATCCCATTGAGATCATTGATCTCTTTTTCAAGGGAGACCTGCTCAAGTAGTTCCACATGAAACATAAAAACATAAATAGAACAAAAGGACATCATACAGCATCATTTACACAAACAGTGACACTTATTACTTACATTCAAATAAAAACTGCTGAGTCGAATTCTAAACCTAATCTTTTCTACTATTTTATAGTCTCTTGATTTGATTTATGGAGTTTTCAAACTCTAGTAGATATATATGTTTAAACCAAGGGGGTCCATGGAGTGTTTGTCTCCTGCGAAACGTACACACAGGTGACTGTTAAACTGTCCAGCCAATGCTTAAAGAAATAAATAGTAGGCGACTACTTGGTTTAACCCATAGACTGTATATAAAGGTTTAACCACAGCCTGTATAAACTGTATCTGGGTTTTAGTGTGCCTCTCACCCAACAGATGGCAGTCACGCGCCAAAACCCACAGCAGTGTGCAAACAAATGCCGTGAGAAGAAGAGGAAGAAGAAGCTAGTAATAAAACATGGATGCTAACAACTTTGCAAACATTTTAAGGGAAGGAAATATATCCCACACGTTTGTTTTACCTCATATAATCATACAGCTTTTGTGAGGGAAAAAAACACGAACGTAAAGACAAATGTTGTTTAAAACACAACACCACAGGCTGCTTTAAAGCTTAATTAGCTTAAAGTTGCAATGAGCATTCTTCATATAAACAAAACATGTTTACATGTTTTCTTTCCTAAACCCCGTATCCTTGAGGTTTTAAAAAAACGTGTTGAATCCATTTAATTCAACACGAAACATAAAGCCCATTATTGAATAGTTTAAATATGTAATTACTTGTTTAGTTGATTCTTCCTATCCTGTTATGCTTGGTTGCGAATTACAACCAAATTGACGATGTAACCAAATTGTGTCCAAGCGCGTGCACACTACAAATAAAACATTGCACCACCAAGTACCTTACAAAGATGTCATAACATCCAATGGAATACAATATTTAAAGCCCTGTGGCATATATTAGGAATCACAGATTAAAACATTTGCTGGAGGAAAACAAGTGGTTAATAGTTTTTAAAGCAGGCAGAGCTGAGTCCATGTGAGGCAGATGTTCAAGCATTTGTATTTATTTGATTGCTGCACTATTTTACATGTTGGCTACTGTATAGTCACAGAGTTCAACAAAGGCAAAGCACAGCGGGCTGTCCTGCACAAATCAACAAATTAAAATGAACACACTGCAATTGATCATTTGAAAAGTAAAGACATAAAACATATTATTAAATAAAAACAAAACATAGGCCAGTGGAGGAGAATGCAAAGAAGTTCTTCAAATTAGAAATAAAATTAGTAAAACAACGAATAGTCTCGAAAAGCGCTGATATCAGTGTGTATTTAAATGAATAAAGCACATGAACAGCCAACATCCTTAAACATCACTGTTGTTGCTAGTGTTTTGGTCCATGGGTGTCATACAGGCACCTCCTTCCTTTCATAGCTCCTCCACCTCCTCATCTTCACCCACAGCTGCTGTCATAGAGTGAAGAATGTGATTATCTGCAGCTACACAGAGATCCTTGAGTTTCTCCATATCACATTAAGCAGAAAACATGAACATTATTCATCCGGAGAAATTACTAGTGCCTGTAGGGTCTTTATTTGTGCCCTTTGAAAGCATCTTATACTGCTTTGCTGTGGGTAGTTAAATGACAACGCCCTTATACAATTTCTGTATTTTTAAATACTTTCAATGTTGGAGCTGCATACTGCCTCTTGCAGCTATATCAGATGTTATTCTCATGTGCTTTTTCTCATTCTCAAACACTACAATCTTATAAGGTTTTTATACAGGACCAAGTGTTTGTGAATAGCAGATAAACGTAGGGTCTTTTGGGAGGTGGAGGAATAGAAGGTGAGCTCTCAGAGTCCATTTGTGATGAGAGACCCCCACCCTGACCGGACACTGGCATCTGGAAAGGGTCTGGATCCTGCTGACGGGTTTGGGGGGGCGGGACTCAGATCTGACTGAGAGGCAGGAACTTCTGGTAGTAGCTCTTGGTTACATCGATCATCAGGTCCTGTGTGCACTCTGGGAGCTCTGCTGAAAACAGACCTGAGAGAGAAAGATGGACACAGGTAAAGATATGGTAGATATGGTAGATACAAGGTGAAAGGATCTGGTGTGTGTGTGTGTGTGTGTCAGGGTTTCCGTTAGCCAGTAATTACGTTTTTTTTAGCTGGTTAAATGTATTAAAAACAGGAGAAGGGCTCTGTTCTCTGATTCCAGCAGGAAACAAACAATGTCAACTTGCAGCAGCATTGTTAATGAGATGTGTGGAGTGGGTCTGCAAAATAAATCCAAATGCTATGTAAATCGCAATATGGACTAGTACAATGTTCAAATCGCAGGAAGCACAATATTTGGCTAAACATGATTTAAAAAAGACAATTTTTTAATAATGATAGTGGAGCTGCAATGATATCCCAGCCTGCAGGTTCAACAAAACAAATTGGTTTTTACAGATAATGTTAAGAAATAGCACCATAATCGTATATATATATTATCAGGGTTTCCGTAGCCGGTAATTAGACCAGCCGAGCATCCCTAATTATTACCGGACATTTTGACCGGCAGGTTTTGAATTTACCGGTTTTTATTACATTTTACCAGCTAAAAACCGGTAAATTCAAAACCTGCCGGTCAAAATGTCCGATGCTCCGATCGATTGGCCGCCGGTCATTATCGGCCGATATTCACTCTTAATAGTTTGATCGGTGCTCTCTATAAAGGCCGATCAGGGAGAGCTGGCATCTGATCGATATGGACATAAACGCGAGTGAAGTGTAACCGGATGCGAGAGAGAGAGAGATCAGAGATCAGCTGCTGAGTCTGATGGAGACACGCAGCTCTGCATGATCACCTGAAGCCCGCCCTCTGTTTAGCGAGCTGCATGAAGAAACTGACGGGCTGTCATGAGAGAGAGAGAGGGAGAGGGGAAAGAGAGGATCCGTTTCTCCTGTTATTATTCAAAGTTAATGTAAACTTTTGAATAATGTACTTCATCTACTACAAGTAGTTTGGTTGAATGTAATAATGATGTTTGTGGAATCATTTATTGAAAAAATGAATCTGAACTTTTCGATCTGTTACGATTATAACTGAAGCAATATAAAAAATAAGCCCCATTAACTGAGTTTTAAACATCAGCCGGTCCCTAGTCCGGTAATTACCTGCTAATGGAAACTCTGCTACACAATTCTTATTATTCTTATTGAAACATGACCGGTAAGTTTCAATCTGTCCGGTAAAATTAATTATTACTGCCAAGAAAAAATCCTAGCGGAAACCCTGGTATGTATGTTATGTATGTGTGTATGTATGTATGTATGTATGTATGTGTGTGTGTGTGTGTAGTATGTGTATGTATGTATGTGTGTGTGTGTGTGTGTATATGTGTATGTTGTGTTGTGTGTGTGTGTGTGTGTGTGTGTGTGTGTGTGTATGTGTGTATGTGTGTGTGTGTTGTGTGTGTGTGTGTGTATGCATGTGTGTGTGTGTGTTGGAGCTGACCTGGACATCCAGAGAAGACGGTGAAAGGCGGCACCACGGTCTCAGGAGGGAGCACGGTGTTGTCTAAGATCTTGCAGCAGTCCTTCAGCACACAGCGCCGACCCTGCACATAAAACCAGTTAACACGATGGATCGAGACACTTCAGAAAAATGCAGGAAAGCATCTTTATAGTCAAAAGGAAACTGGGCTGAATTGGAATTTAGTTGCTGTTTTGTTTTTGGTCTCAACCATTTTTCATGTGTTGGGAATGTATGTATTGAATAACATATGTAAAAAAACATCTATGTGTACAAAATACCTAAAAGCTACATACTTGTATTATAAAAAGATGAAGACAAGAAGAATCATAAACACATTTTAATATTGGGGAAATTCATCCCAGAATGTACTTTTCCAGGGTCTCAAGTCTTTTTAACAGCTTCCATGTCATGTGACCTCATTACTCCAAATAAGAGCTGTAAGATAATAAGAGGCGAAGTCCCGCCCATCTGCTTCCGACCCATGGAACCTTATTTCGGAAAAAGTATGTATTGAAGTCAATGGAGAGAGAAAGATTATCTTTCGATCCCGTTTGAATTGTGCCACGAATTACACATATGATGTTTGTCAATCTTAACAA